CCTCCGATCTGTTTTCGTTTACTTCCTTGACTTAATTTGTCTGCATTTGTTTGTAAATAAGCTCTCAAAATTCAGACGGTATTTTCGGCAGGCAGGGGCGAAAAAATCTTATGCAGAAATGAGGCTCATTGATCGTCCTCGAAATAAGTGAGATCAAAACTCAAAAGTGTCATCGCCTCTAATTGAATCAAAATGGCGTATTTTTTGTATAATAATCAGGGAATGTTAATGCTTGTATACCAACCAGAAACCAGTTTTCCTAAAAATGCCAAATAAATTCCAGCATTTAGTGTCATCAAGCGCTAAAAAAACGCGCCTGCGCTCCAGTCTCATATTCTCCACTAAACCAAGAGGCAGCGGCGAAGCTCGACTGAAACTTACCAGGGCGTGCTAAAAGCTTGGTTGTAATTCTGACGGGGTCCGAGCCACCAAGGAAGGACACGATTTGTACGAGATAATTACCGGAGCTAACATTCTTCGGGCAAATGACTTGGCAGTCAATAGACTCGCTTGCAGGTTGCCATTCGAAGTCGTTCGACCGATTGTGCAGCATCCTTGGTTGACGTTAAATTTTTTATGGTTACTCACTTCATTTTCTAGCGCGCGCCATATCTGGATTCCCGCTGCTATGGCGAAAAGATCCCTTTCCTCTACTTCGATAAATGTTGCAATTTGAAAAGTTAATCGTCTTATCGGTGACTTTTTTTGTTGATTGGATGTAAAGATGCAATATATTTTCTGAATATGTAACTGTAAAAGAGAATGTCTGATGGGAAACTGCTATAGAAGACAATATTTTTCTTGCTGCTCTTTGCAGTACCATATATGTGTGCAGTGTTGTTGTGTATCGATCATTTTTTGTTCTTTTAGTTGCGGATACTCCGCTGTCGCCATCGAATCCCTTCTCCATGCAACAACTTCCTTCGATCTTGCCCACTCCCCCTGTGGGACCGAACTTGAATGATCCTTATGCAGATATTGAAGTGAGTTCAATGCTGAATTCAACTTGCAGGCTGTAGTATTTTGAATTGAAACGAAACTTGTACATTTTCCGTTTTTTATCTAATAAGCAACCCAGAAGCTGTGTTCTGTGTTCATACTTTGCGTCGGCGTCCACTAGCCACCACCAGCATTTCGACCGTCTGTGGGCGACCAGGGACGTACATCGTATGGTACAGATATCGATCTAGCGAATGCCGGCATCGACCACCGTACAGCAGCGGTTTCGCAGGCAGTTTTGAACTCGAACAAAAACAAACTTGCCCGCGAAAACACTGTTGGACGCTGGTGAACGCTGGCTTTCGCTAGATATCCATGCTTTCCTAGTCGCTGGTGGTTGACGAAAAGTGTGAACGCAACCTAAGACTACAGCTAGTGGTAGCCTATCATTTGCTTTTTTGAGTAAACAGCAATGGAGGACAGTCGCTTTTTTCCTTTTTTGCGGAAAAGAGCTTCTTGAAAAAGGTGAAGGTTGTAGCGCTGCTCCCATGTATTTTACATTCCCTTGTATCGTACTTATATCACAGGTAAAAATAGCTGATCTGGGTAACGCATGTTGGACTCATCACCATTTCACCGAGGATATACAAACCAGGCAGTATCGGTCGTTGGAGGTATTGATAGGAGCCGGCTATGGTCCTCCTGCTGATATTTGGAGTACTGCTTGTATGGTAAGTGTGCTATGTCGACCTGTGTCAAACGAGTCGATGCCTTGAATGATTAACTTGCTACTCAGGCCTTCGAATTGGCAACAGGTGATTACCTTTTCGAGCCGCACAATGGTGATAATTATTCTCGGGATGAAGATCACCTTGCTCATATCTGCGAATTACTGGGATCAATTCCTCCGTCTGTATATAAGAAGGGACAACACTGGAAAGAATTTTTCAATAAGGTTAGTTGAGCCCGCAGGATTGAAGCAGATTGTAACGTAGTTTTTCAGCAAGGTCGGCTGCTCCACATACACCAATTGAAGCCATGGCCTCTACTTGACGTTCTTCGTCAAAAATATGACTGGCCTTTTGAACAGGCGCGACAGTTCGCCTCTTTCCTCATTCCAATGCTCGCGTTCGATCAGGTGATGCTAAGTTCTTTTGACAGATTTTCAACTTCAACATTGTTTCCGAAATAGAAAAAATAGAATTAGAATGTCTAAGTACCTGTGGAGCATATTCGCTGGTAATTGCTCCTAAGTGTATGGGATTTATTTCACACCTCCACCCATGCTCGAAATACTGCTCTTGTAAACGAGTCGTGTGGTGGTGTGAATGAGCTCAATCCATGTTAACCTAAGAAGATCCTTGGGAATTGGAAGGAGCTTTCTGGAAAGCAGATTACTTGTGAGCTGTTCATATTATCACATTTGAAAAAGCTTAGTGAGCAGTTTCGAGTAGGATTCATCTCAGATGGGTCTCTGGGTGTCAGCTCATCATGATTCCTCGTCTGTCTCTTGGTCAAACGCTTGAAAATGGTAAATTTTTGTTATTGCGTGGGTCATATATTGAGGTTCCTTTGGCCATTTTTCCCCGGCGGCCGCTGCGCTCCCTTTCCGCAAGACTTTCGTACCACGAAGGTGGTACGTTCTCTGTGTTTGCGTTCCGCGCCACTTTGTGCAGAGAAGGGCATCTGCACGCCGATTAGTTGCTCACTCTGCACTGGATCTGGAACGTTGGCTGGAACGAACGGAGGCTTCTGGGCTTCACGAAAAACATACAGCCGTTTTCGCTGCGGTTGAAGGGGTGTGGTCAGGCGGAAGAGGTTTGACGCGGCTCCACACCCATTTTTCACTAGTTGTAGGGGTAACAACAATTGGTGGAAAACGACTGCTGCGAAGCGACGTAGTAGTAATAGTAGTAGTAGTCTGGTCTTGACGCTTGTTCGCTCCAACTAGTGTTAAACGAGTCTAGCGCCGCACCAAACACATCGTACCTGACCATCCTCTTCATTCACAGCGGACGCGACTGTAGTTTTAACTGAGCGCCTATAAAGGATTTCGAAACAAAACCGCTATAGTAAATAGGACAAGAACGTTTGCTCTCATAAGAAACGGAATCACTTCTGCTCCTATTTAACTCGGTCCATATGTTTTTGCTGAAAAGTTTGCGCTGCTAACTCGATTCGGAGTGAGAACTTAGCGCGTCTCTGATTTCGCGATCGATATCCCGAAAAACTTGTGTCACCCTCTGCTGAGGTTCGGTAGGATTTGAAACCCTCTGCTAGTTCTTCCTTGGAAACGACCCTTCTGAAACGGTACAGTAATCCCATGGATAGGGTAATGCAATATTACTAGAATATGCAAAAACAGAAATTCGGGAGCTTTTGAATCTTCCGAGTATCTCGGAATTTTTTTCTGTCTTTTGGTGTTTTTTTTTGGCGCTGCACAAAATTGTGTTTCGTGGAGACAGCGCTGGTGGGAGTTGCTCCGCAACCGGAAGTGGCACACTTCTCATCTGCTTCCTCTTTGGGGCCACTTGTCTTTTGTTACTCAAACATCATTGCGCGTTGCTATGCGCTCAAGAAATGGCGTGGCACCTGCCCAATATTACAAAACTGCATTAAGGTTGAGGGAGGGAGTGCTGCATCATGCTTTCGCACCAAGAGTACAACTCCCAGTTTAAATAGTGATAAGTGAGCAGTAATTCAGTAAGCAGCTTATAAACAAAAGTTGACAAAGAGTCTATTCATCATGTTTCAAATGTTTCCTTGACGCTTCAATTAACTATTGTGTCAAGGACGAGAGGATTACCGCCGCCCAAGCACTGGAACACGACTGGTTGAAACCATTCGGAGGAAAACCTCCACCACCTGATGTTCCCATAGAGGTATGTGAATAGTATAAAGTACAGAAGAGTTCTCTTCGGACGAAAGGGGCGTACCTACGTCCACGCTGTCCGCGCTCCCGATGGCATCACGATCGATAATGGCTGGTGCGCTCGGTCTGCTGGTCTGTACGTTTTGAAAGCTTAAATTATTCTTCGTTTCTTCGTTCGGGTTTAATAAGGGAAGGTAGGTTAGGTAGATGGAATGTTTTACTTTGATTAGATTTTATTTTGCATGATTTCAATCAGTCACATTGTAATTAAAAGCAGTTGGCACGATAATTTGGTACTCGGCCTACAATGCTAGCAGGGCCTTTGTAATGCGAAAATGACAGGAGAACGGAGTGAACGGTAACTTGTTGAAGAGCCTTCGTTCTTGATGATTTAGAAATGAGTTCCGGGAGAAGTTTCCGATGCATACTTGCCAATTTCGAATACGAATAGCGGTGCATGTGTGTAATCATTTATCCATGCAGCCTGCGGCGCTTAATTACTAATCTTTCGTTCATAATTCGCTTTAGAAAATGAATCAGTACGTGTCAGGAACGGTCGTCCATTTGTGGGCGGGCGGGCGTAGTGGGTGGGTCTTCGGGCTGATATGCTGTAGCTTGATAGGGCCCTTATTAGGGTACTTCCTTGTAACGAGCGCTGCGCAGCCTTTCAAAGATCGCAGGATCTGTTTGACATGGCATATTAATTTGTGCTGGTTTGATTGGATTTTATGGTGGGGCATGCCTTAAATAGATCGTTCAAGTGAAGTTTATAGGAAAACGAAAATGAGAGAAAAAATTTTATTGAAGATTGAAATCAATGGTGAAATCATGTGCCAAATGAATTGCTGGCAGTAACATTTTTACTTTCTCCGTATAGCCGAGCGTAGATAATATTTGGCTTTCAGGAAGCTGAATATAGTAGAAATCGGTTACTAAGTGCGTCAGACATTTTCGATCGCCCAGAGTCTAGACGGAACAATGAGAAGATAGCGCGCAGGCGTGTGTATGAGTGTCCAGTCGACGTCAGAGAGCGCGGAGGCAGTGATGATTTTCGTCCCAGGTCTCTGCCTTTCCACTCACATGCAGCCATGGGATCGCTCGCCATAGTGGGCGTATGAACGCCATTTCGTCCGAAGAGAACTCGACTGTAAAATGCTACTTCGCTTATTCTTGAAAACTCTATTATGAATTAGTTTAGGTGTTGAGAAGGATCTATCCAAATGGTGAGATACCAGGAGCGAAACCAGCAAGCTCTAATACATCAACCGCGGTCGTGAACGGTAACGATATGCGAGAAATGGATGTGGACATTGAGCAGGCAGATTGTCGATGCGATGAGCTTCTCGAAGGTGCAGCAGGTGCCGAAGTATAGGTGCAATCGCTTTCTGCTTCCTTGTTTGCCTAGAACATATATGTCTTCATCATTGTTTCACACATTTCTATGAAATCTTATGATCGCCCACCATCGAATTGTAAAGTAATATTTAGCTTATCGTCGTAATTCCTTCCCTCCAGATGCACAGTTCGACGAATGTGGTGTCTGTAATCTCCTGTTTTATGGGTCCAGATATCACTTCTGTGATTGACGAACGACAGCCTTTATACTGTCCCTGTTTCCAGCACTCCGTCTTCCTTTCAAATTACCCCATCATCCTTTATTTATAATATAATATCGCGGCTCGGTGTCGGTGTACCGCACTGTTTAGTGGAACGATATCGACGGAATGAAGTGATGTGATTTACAATTGTTCTCATCGACGATATCTGATCTTCTCTAATCAGTCAGAAAATGGAGATGGCAGCGCGAGCACATGGTGTAGAGGCACGCGGCGCATATGTGCTGCATATGTAATTATCGTCTCTACTTGTACAGTGTGCATGGTAGCCGTTAGCTATTTTGCATAAATATTACGAAGAGATTGCCAGCTTCACTCTCACCCTTCTATTTTCTGTTCGTTTCGTGTACCCTATCGTTTCGGCTCCTCTATATTTCTTTTCATAGATGTATTATAAAGATAGTCTTGAACATCCAGTAGAGTGATTGAAGTGTTTTGTTCTCTTAACCATACTACTCTACCACAACACTAATCGCTTTATTGCGGTCGTTTGCCGTCATCCGAAGACTGTGTGTGCGTGCGTGCATGTGTTTTCCTTTCGTTTTCTGTTCTCTCGATTACTACTATATATGTGTGAGGAAGTGATTTCTCACATGAAACCCTCCATCCCCCGTCACCCCGTGTGCTGGTCCCATGTGTTCAATTTTACATCCATAATCTGTTTATTCGTGTCTGTGCCCCTGTGAGTTTTTTGAGGTGAAACATCTGGATCTGATCTGTCGTGTACCTTCTATTGACGCGTTGACGCGACTCAGAGAAATGAAATTTCACCAATGTCTATGAATCATCAAATGTAGCTCATCAAATGTTCTTTTTAAAGCGGAGGAAAGGTTTGATGTTATGCAGTTCGAGGAGTAACATTATAGTTAGTACAGGTATAAGACCAGGAGTTGTGCTGGAAAGAATAAGTCATAATCGTTGAAAATGTGAGAAAAAATGATGACGCATGAAAGGCGTGTTCGAGCATCTGGCCCCATGTATTTGCCCCTGCAATGACATCCGGTTATGTCGGTAATTGAGTCAATCGTTGCTTCCCATAAGAGTTCGCTCGCTTCCATTGTATCAGATTAAAGCCAGTCTCTGCGCCAAAGCAATTTGTGGGCGCCGTTCTTTGTACATATGGTCCGGTCCTCAGTCTCTGATGTT